TTTTGCTTAGCTGCATTGCGTTCAGTTTCCGTTCCGTTTTCTGACCGTTTCCTGACCGGACAAAATGTGACATGCAGTATTTTTCTGTCGTAACCTGAACGGACTGCGCACGTGAGAACTGTAGCCCATAAAAAACATAGGGATACATTGCGATGCATTTTTAGTGCAGGAGCGTACGGATCAGGTCAGCACATAGAAAACGGACGTCGTGTGAAAAGGCCCTAAGAGTGTGATAACCTTGTGGTCTGAAGCCATCCAAGCCGGTGAGGGTATTGTTATTATTTTCTGTGCTGAAGAAAGCAACAGGTAAAGTTTATCATTTCTATGCTGAAGAAAGCAATCTTAAGTTGTTTTGCTGTACTGAAGAAAGAAAGGACTGTTTATGTTGCTGCTGTGGAAAATAAATGCAGTTTGTCTGTGTCCTGCGGTCCAGCTAATTCCCCAAACATCACACCGGGCATGCATGTAAGCACATCTGCACTTATTCGGCACCATTCTCATATGACTTTTACAGATTTATCAAAGCAATCACTCCGTCACACTACACCTTTCTCCTGCTTCCTCAACACACCTATAGAAACCCACTGTTATCACCAACTAGTGTTACTCTACTGAGAGATAATCAGTGTGTTAATCTTTGTGAATTGAAAGGTTGAGTGTTCTGCGCTATGAAACAGACCCCAAGGGGGAGATTTCACAGAGAGTAAGGGTTAACCGCAAGCTGCTGAAACTAAGGCCAGATAAGCCTCACAAAATGGTTTTAGAATAGTGAGCGCTATGGGTCTCCTGGAGTGAAGTGAGAATCCAACAATGACTTATTAAATAAGTGGTATAAAAATATATATAAATATCTCTAAGTGAACATCTTATAAGACACTTATTTAATAAGTCATTGTTGGATTCTCACTTCACTCCAGGAGACCCATAGCGCTCACTATTCTAAAACCAATCTTTGTGAATTGACTTTTACATTGATTTTATCACATTGGCTGCCAAAATAACATTGACAGGGTTGTAGTAGCAAATATAATGGTAAAAAGTCACTACTTACAGAGCACCTTTGTGAACTGAGCCTTAGAGATGTGAGTTATGTAACAAGAAAATAACAAGAGAAAACCAGCTTTGTAAAAGAAAGTGGAACTTTAGCATAAAAATAAAACATTTGTGAGCAGGAAGTTGTTGTTTTTTATTGCAGAATAAACAATGTCTCTTTTGCAATAAAGGGTTCTCACCTTGCGCTTCGAAACATGTTGACTGTACAATTCCGGCATCTGCTGGGTGCCAGTATGAATTAACTCCTGTGTGCATGTGCAGGAGTTACATCATCCTGGCCCGGTCAATCAAGATGGTATAAGATTCTGAACCAGGAAGAAGACCGTGTGAACATGACGGTATCAGTGAGGGAGTTTGCTGATGTCGCATCGCTGGAACAGAGGTGAGTATTTGTGGACTTTAGTTCTGACTCTGATGTGAAAGGGCACTTCTGATATGAAAGGGAGGACTCTGATATGTTTTTTTGCGTGGGATGTCTCTGTACCAGACCCCTATCTAGGATAATGATTTGTTATTGATTTTGAGGGAACCACACTTCGTTTCTTAAATTTTTACATTTAGTTTTTTTTACATTTTAGGCTGGGGTTCCTTCAGATTTTGCATACTTTTAAAGTTAGTGCAACTAAAAAAGGTGAAGGAACCCTGATGTAGACAAACACTGTAATACTGTAGTGCAGGGCTCAAAATTTCCACTCGCCCCCTCGCAATGTGCGTGGGGGCGAGTGGAAATGAAGCCATTGAGTCAGTCATGGACCGAGGATGACTTGTCCCTATGCTGCTGCTCACGGCCGTGCACCTTCCCATATTAAAGATGGCCGCATGACGGCAGCCATCTTTACTAAGGTCCGTTCTCATTTCCTTCTGGCAGCGTAACTTCCAGTCTGCACGCGGTGGATTATGGGAACTGTAGTTTCGCTTTTAGAGAGCCGTGACAGCAGTGGGTGAGTGTGTCACGTAGAGGGTATTCATTCGGTTAGTTTTTATTGCTGCCGTGTGTCCCGTGGTCGGTCAGTGTGTTCCATCATTCCATCTGACCCGTAACTTTAATCCGATCCTATAAAGTCACGGGTCCTATTGAAGGATAGAACACCGTAACTTCACGGACGTCACAATACAGGGGAAGCCCTGGGGTGGACTGGCAGACAGGTCCCCTTCTTGCAGCCTGAGCTGCAATAACTATGCATGGGACCTGGCTTAATCTCAAGTGCCAGGCCCCTGCCAGCAGGTAATTGAGGTGGACATAGAGATGGATCTGGGTGCCGTGTGTGTGTTGCATATGTGTAATGTCCTGTGCGTTGCGCTGTGGCTGTATGTGTAATGTCCTATGCATTGCGCTGTGGCTGTATGTGTAATGTCCTATGCATTGCGCTGTGGCTGTATGTGTAATGTCCTATGCGTTGCGCTGCGGCTGTATGTGTAATGTCCTATGCGTTGCGCTGTGGCTGTATGTGTAATGTCCTATGCGTTGCGCTGTGGCTGTATGTGTAATGTCCTATGTGTTGCGCTGTGGCTGTATGTGTAATGTCCTATGCGTTGCGCTGTGGCTGTATGTGTAATGTGGCTGTATGTGTCATGTCCTATGCGTTGTGCCCTGTGTGTGTTTGTGTTATGCAGGGCAACTTGTGGCAAGTAACTTTTAAGGCCTGGCTAATAGCTCAGGACCTGAAATTTTGAGCCCTGCTGTAGTGTATAAAAAACATAAAACAGTGTTAGACAGTTGAGAAGGTATATTTTCTACTGATGTCTATTGTCATGGACGAAACTGGCAACTCCTTATACAGTTTACAAAATTTCAGGACAAACAGTAACAGAAGTAATGAAAATACCATAACATAATTTGCAGAGTGAATCATTAGCTAACACTGAAATAATTAGAAATAAGCAAAAACAGATCATTTTAGCACAAATGTTTAATAAATAAAATATTCAACTTGCAGTAGAGTACATTGCACATCTCTGTTCAGCAAACAGAAGTTTTCAGGAATATACCCCGTCATGAAAATCCTGAAAGCAAAATAAATATGTGGCAAGTACTAAAGTTAAGGTAAGCGTTTTTCTTATTCTTTATACTCTCTTTCACACTCTAATTTAGAAAAATTAGCTTTTCACATAAAGGCGTTCTGGACTCGTAGCACTTGTGCATTATATCATATAATACATTATATCATGTTATGTCAAAAGGTCGTATGAAGAGGCCCAATTTCACCTGCAGGGTGTGCTGTATATAACATCTGAAATCACAGCTCCTGTTACTTATTTAAAGGAGAAGTGTAGTGATAGTAAAATATACTCTCTGCAGCTTAGCGCTAGTGTGGGACACTGCAACTCACACTGGCTCTATACTGAAAGATGAACAATCATGCTCATGATTTCCCCTCTCTGTTCCTCCAGTGCTAGCCCAGCATGAGCCCGCTATCTGCTGACTTTGCGTCACAGGAATACATTGAATGTGCTCCTTTAGCCCAAAAAAGAAGTAAAGCCAAAAAAAAAAGGTTTGCCTTTACTTCTCTTTTAACCTCCTTGGCAGTAATCCCGAGTGTGGCTCGGGGTTAATTTTCATTACCAAAAGCGGTGACCCCGTGCCACACTCGGGATTACACTGTAGCGTCTTACCTTGTCCACGATCCTCGCTGTGTCCTCCGGCCAATGCCGTCATCCAGGTTCCGTCCCTTGTGAGCGTCCGCGTCGCAGGGGGCGGAAATGGCAGGAGATTTGAAAGTTAAAAAAAGGGAAACAAAATAGAAACAAAAAAGGAAAAAAAAAAGAAATAATCAGACCGCCAGGGAGGTTAAAGCTGAACTCAAAGCAGATATAAAAGACACAAATAATGCAACACTATTCAATTCATGTATTCATCCTTTAAGGTATTTTAAATGCAAGCAATGCAAGTACCTAAATGTAAGCCTCTTGCAGTCTACTGTACAGACTGGGTAAGGAACAAGCAGCACAAAAGGCCAATCAGTCAGATTGTAGTGAAAGGAGCATGCTGACAGAAGGATTGAGCAGAATGACAGATCATCTCAGTAGTCTGACGCTTTACCTTTTATTGTCCATTCACAGGCTAGGGTGTGGAGGAGCCCTATAAGTGTTACTAAACTGCAGCAGAGAAGGTCTCCTGTCCTTTTAGACATGGTTGTGGTTTGTGGCAAAGCTGTGTAAATCTCACAACTGTATAGGCAGAAATACAAATGATTTGTTAGGCAAACCAGCTCCAATATATATATTTCATCTGTGCATTTAGCTCTTGGCCTGGAGTTCAGCTTTAACTGGCAGTACATATTTAACAATATAATTCACTAAAGATGTGATTTGTTATCATCAGGTTCAATGCTACTATATCTTTTTGAATTCCGCTTAAAGGAAACATGTATATGGGGACTGTCATTGCTGATCTCCTTATGGAAATGCTATTTTCCTGTCTGACTGTCTACAATACAAACACATCCCCAAGAATAGGAATGAAGCAACTGAAGTCTGCAGAAAGTAAGAGCTATTGGTTTACATGTTGATCATGCAGTCACTCAAAGCTGAAGTCAGAGGTTCAGCATAGGTCAGGTAACTAGAATTTTCCAAAAAGGTTAGCTAGGGCAGCCTACAGATCCTTCTCGCTACATATTATATAATTTTGCGAGCTTTAAATGCACAAATGTGTGCTTGGGCAAGGATATAAAGGCTAATTTTACGGTGTCGTCTCCACACTTGTAGTCTATTGACACTTCCTCTGGACGAGAGGAAGAGTCTGCAAGAGCCAGAGCATTGCACCTCTGATTCACTGATTGAGTTTGCAATGCTTTACAGGCTGCTATGCAAAAATATCATAAATGCACACTTTTTATAAAGATGTGTACATTTATTTTTATTTTATTTTTTTCAAAAGGTGGAGTTTCCTTTTAAAGGTCTTTTTGTAAAGGTTTGCTTAGAGCTGCAGTGTGAAATAGCTGGCTGTGTATTGGAGGAGACGGGTAATTTTGTAGAAGGTGGATGGTCCATGTACTCAGAGCACTACTTGACTGTGTACGTGTGGTTCAGGAACGTCTTGTCCAGGCAGTGAGCTTGCAGGATCCTTTACAGCTAATTGTCTGTAATGACAAAACAAACCACAACATTACAAAAGGTAATTACACAGCTCAGGTCGAAACAATAAACAGACAAAACCCCAATGCTAATGACAAATTGGTATTACACAGATAGCCACAAATTCATCTTTCTCACAATACATGTCAAGATACTTGGGATTCTGGAAGGCAGAGTTATTTATTGAATAGAAGATTATAGACAGGTCTTGGCAAGCAATGACTCATAGTTCTTATGTGTCACTAAAAGAATGAGCTGATTGCTTATACCAGGAATCATTTTTAATCTCTACTTTTATGCATTTGCTAGAGTTGCACCTAATACAGTATACGGAACACCCAGTGCACAGCTTCTAGGCAAATGTTATGCATGGACAGATGTCGTTTCTTCAAACTTGCTCATTTTGTCACTTCTGGACAGCAATAAGGTCGTCTCTAGGGTTGCCACCTGTCCAGGATTCACCCGAGCAGTCCAGGTTTTGAATGCTGTGTCCGGGTTTCATGGCAGCAGAAACCCGGACACAAGATGTCAGGCAGACAGGGGCAACCAAAATTAAGATAGGGGCTACTGGCCCCCCACTGAAAATAGTCTCAACTGTGATATTTACACATGAATGGGTTGATGCTATTTACAAATGCATAAGCCACGACTTATTCTCCCAAAAAAAGTCAGCGCGTTACTAGAGTGTGTTCGGGTTTTGCTTGAAGAAAAGGTGGCAACCCTAGTCGTCTCTGCGATTAGAATGGGCACAAAGGAAAACTTTTGTCCACTATTCTTAGTGGAAATGTCTGTTGTTACATTACACATTTTCTGATATTAATATACTGTTTCCAGTTTAAGGTTTGGGGGGTGATATGCAGCACAAGGGACACAAGTTACCTCTAATGAAGTGTGTCCTGTATCCTGCTGGCTGCTGCTTAGTGTAGACCACTTACTTTTACAAACGCCGGATTATGAAGGACTAAAGCGGGGGCCCAATCTACTTGTCCCTCATGACAGTCTACTTGTCCAGATACAAAAAAAATATTTTAACCAAAACCATATTTAACCGTGCTAAGAAGTGCTCGTAATTTGTGAGCGAAATTCTAAATCCATAGCACAGGGCTGCGCTGGACAGCATTATGGGGTACAGAGAGTACACCCGTACTAGCGTAGGGGAAGGACTGTTTGTGGAAAAATAAGTATACCAGTGGGGGGAGAGGGGGCCAGATTTAAGTGGGTAATTCCATTTTCTTACTTGGGAAAGTGAAATTACCCTTTAATGCACATTGTGCGTGTTAGAGAGAGCTGCTTTCCGGCTACCACAATATGTCACACAGTGGAATGGGGGCAGCACTAAGCGCACACACACACAAAATGTCCATTTGCATGCAATATAGCAGGGGCGACGGGGTTGGTTTTAATTTTTTTTAAATGTATTTATTGTTTACTTTATTTTTTACTTTTTTTTAATCACATTTTTATTTATTTATTTTACTTTTAATTTTATTATTTTTATCACTTTTTAGGGGCGACGGGGTTGGTTTTAATTTGTTTTAAATTTATTTATTGATTATTTTATTATTTCTTTTAATCACATTTTAATTTATTTTACTTTTAATTTTATTATTTTTATCACTTTTTAAAAAAAAATTAATTTATTGTATAATTTATTTTACTTAACTTTATTGCTATCACACAGGGGCTAACAATACAGCCGCCCAGATCACCTATACAAAACAGCTCCCCTCCTCTACATTTAGCTCTCCTGCTTCCCCACAGCAGGGCTAAAAGTAAAAAAAAAAAAAAAAACCTGCCCACCACCCAAAACTGCATGTCCCAGGCGTCGGGCAGTGGAAATTCCTGTGCGGGTTAAGATCAGCAGCTGCGACTGTGAACCATTGGCCCTGCTTGCCCTCCCCTTCCCCCTTTCTTGCCCATTAACAGAACTTGTAGTATTCTTTCCCACAATGCAACGCATGAGTCTAGAAACACTTCATGGAGCTGACCACCACCCAGGGAGAAGCCTAGCATCCCACAGCTCCCCATCTTGGTCATGTCGCCTCATTCTGGCTGCAGTGTTTGTGTTGCTGCTCTTGGCCTACTGCCCCTGGGGTGCCCTACAAGCTTTTATGCTCATGTCACTGTGAGCCCTGCACTGGAGGGGGTGCTTTGCTGCTCCCCCTGGACTTTACCTAAGCCAGTACCCCAAAAAGGGAAGCACTGCTGGGGCCACTCATGGATTACTCAGCCCTGCTTCTTATCTGATTGCACAGGAAAGGTTTCACCCACAATTATGCAGTGACAGTATTCCTTTAGCTAGTCCACTTTAGTGTCTGCAGTGGACTTTAATTATTGCCACAACCAAGTAGCAACCAAGTTTACCCCCCTAATATGCCATTAGGGGGGGTAAACTTCACAAAGGGCTTTTGCTGCCACATAAGGCTTCTTATAGATTTGGAACGTAAAAGTGGTCTGCTAATTATTTGATAGACACAGGGCTTGTGTAGTCTAAAGCAGTTTGTATGAGAGAATACCAAGTGTCTTTGTGTTATTCTTCTATGACCCTGTAGTGTTGAATTAACTTCTTTCAGAAGAATCACCAATGGGGTTAGTGAAGGGGGTGGGGGTGGGGGGTTAGGGGAGCCAGATCAGTTGGGCTGTATGGAGCCACGTGATTTCTAATGGTGGTGACCAAGGATGCACAACTTCAACAAACAATCTTTATACAGTAACCCATCAGACTAGTTAAAACTAATACTATAGTTTAGGTGTGAGGGGTGTCGAACTGTATGTGTAGGACACTTGCAGCTATAAAACAAAAGTAGTACATATATGTGGGGCATTAAATTGAGGTAGTAAGATGAAGATATTTTTCCTGTAGTTCTGCTTTAAATTAAAATCAGCATACCAAATATTCAAGCATAGTAAGACAATGCTGCTGACTATCAAACCTGGATTTAAAATCTGGTCAATCTTGTATTCTGACACATCATCTGACATACAGTAAATGATCTAATGTGGCAATTACTACACATCTGAATATGTAAAATTAGAAACAAATGTAGCGTGCTTCATGAAAATTTGTAGGTTTCACAACCTGCAAAGGAGACGGCCCTCTGAGTGCTCAGGGCATTTTCGCCCCAGAATCCCTCTCCATTGCTGAATGGTCATGACACTGTGCAAAGCAAAAACATTCATTTAGGTAAAAGAACTGGCAGTATGAACCTCTTTTTAATGTTGTCTGCTTATTGTTTTGAGACGCGTTTTAGAAGAAAAGTTAAAGCTTTGTATGGAAAAGATTAGAATTTAACGGGAGATGCTAGAGCAGGGGTCTCAAAGTACCGGCCCACGAGCCGGTACTATGTGGCCCGCAGTCAGCTGACAAGTCCGGCACACGGACGGCGTGCCCGACTTTCAGGAGCAGCTACACGGTCCGCAGAGCTGCTCCTGTCAGCTCCGGCCGGAGCTGTCAGTTCTGAGCTCCAGCCGAATGATGGATCATTAGGAAGGTCTGCACTAGACCTTACCTCCCCTATATTTCAGGTGTGATTAGGGATTCCTGTGTCACAAACTTGCGTTTTCCTGCAGCAGGAATCTCTAATCTGGTGTTTGCATGCAGCAACTGTCACCCATTCAAGTTGATGATCAGCCGCTGCATGTACACGTCTGCATACCGCATGTAATCGTATGTGATATGATTACATGCAGTTACAAAAACAATCACTATCCCTGGATAAACAATTGTGTAACTACTGATAGTGACAGATTCCTAACTGCATGTCATCCTTTCACATATGATTACATGCGGTGTGTGCAGGCGTTTACAAGCAGCAGCTGTTACCCGATCATTAATTTGAACCGGTGACAGTTGCCGCTTGTAACATGTGCAGACATTAAAACTGGTACCGTATATAGTAACGGCCCCCCATGGGACTAAAAAATTTGTCCAGTGGCCCCCGACTAAATTGAGTTTGAGACCCCTGTGCTAGAGGATATGAAGTTCCTGCATTTACCTGCAGCTGCTCTTATTTGCTTTCTGAGCTGAACATGGGCAGGACAGTTCACAGAACAATACATTACAAAACATTCCCCAGCACACTCTCCAGAAGTCAGCACAAAAACTTAAGCTGGTCATACATTGTGCAAATTTCTGAAATTTGTACCCTTTTTTTTGACATCCTTCAATGAGAAAAAGAAGCTGGATGGAAAATCTTCAGGCAAACAGCGGCAACAGCCAATCAGCTGCCATCACTGTTTGAGTATCCTGACAGTGGCACTGTCAGAATGCAAAGGAAATGAGGGTGAAATTTGTCCATCCATGCTGTCTAGTGTGGATGGAGGAACCTGTTATAAATTTTCCCGTAAGTTTTACCTAGCTAAAGTAAAGCTGTCCATACACTGCTTGAATTTCAGCCAAGTCCTGCTGACATTAGAGCAGTGTGTGGACCTCCTGGGGGCCCCCCTGTTTGACAACATTCCCCTTTTGAATCGACTTCTGTTAATGGAGCTGGTTCGAAAACTCTCAGCTTAATGGTAACTGCAGCCAATCAGCTGCAGTCACTATTTGGGCATTCAGACAGCTATTTCGATGGGTATACCCACACACACTACTGTCATAATACAACAGCCCAGTGGGCTATTGTGGGCCCAGTGTATGGCCAGCTTATGGTGCATCCACACTAAACAGAATCAAGTGTATGGCCAGCTTAGGGTGCACATGGGTGGGGCAGCTCACAGAACAACAATGAAGAGTGAACCTTTCTCTAAATTAAAACCTAAAGACATTTTTGGGGCACTGATGTTTAAACTTCAGCACAGACATTTTTGCAGTGCAGGAAAATGTCCATATGCTATCTGTCCTTATACTGATGATCTCCTAATTAAAGCATTTTGTTTCAGAATAGGTCCTTGTATTTGGAGCTACTAGTGTAAAAAACACGGCCACTCTGTATGTCAAAAATCAACCAGCCAATGCAGCCGGAAAGTAATTGATTACCAAGAATGAATTGTGACTGCTCCGATCATGTGAAATATAGCATAGAACACATTAGTTATGCATAGACATCTTACAGCTCCATTACCCATATGTTGTCTGTAATAGAAAACTCCAGCAGCAAAACATTTTGGTTTTCAGACTGAGAATCTTAATAAGTAAATATAGCAACTAGGCGGCAACATTTTAAAGCCGACTTTATGGTAAATTATGCCATGTCAGATTTCTGAAGAATTACCTGTAGCAAGGATCAAAAAACTCACTGGTTTGATTACCACTATTTATATAAAAATGAGGCCACGTTTGCCAAAACACTGCATTATTGTTTCTTATAAAACGCATTTACAGAGTGTATTTATACAAAGCTTTTTCAATGAATATCAATGAGACATGGGCATCAGAAAAATGTCTGGGGATTAATCTGAATGTAGTTGGTATGTATGTATGCGTTCAAGCTGAATGTGTGCTCTGCAGAGGTTTGGTTAGAAATATAACCTCTTGTGGTCATACAGGGTCACAGTCACCAGTCAGTGACAAACTGTTCAACGTATTGTTAAACAAGATGGATACGTGCTAATAATGCAGAATGACTGGACGATGTAAGCAGCACTCAGATCTCTGATAGGGGAGGAACAGAGGTGTGAGCCCATCACATGTGATGAGAATGAACATGACAGGCAGAGAACAGATTAGGCACAAGGTGGGTACATACGGTGGTACAGGTATTCCTCACTTAATGACCGAGTTCCGTTCCTACGACCAGGTCATTAAACGAATTGGTTGTTAAGTGAGGAACTCTATACAGTACTGTACTGCATTAATACAGAACTGTATAGCGTTGCAGATGTACAGTACCGAACAGTGTACTGTACATCGGGCAATGAAAATACTTACCGGGACCCGCAGTGAAGATCGGAGGACGTCACTTCCGCCGGCGACAGGTCGCGCTAGGCCGCTCGGAGGACGGTCGTAAGTGCGAGTGGTCGCAAAACAGGTAAGTCGTTAAGCAAGGATTATCTGTATTTACCAGTCTCTGAAAGGAAATGCAGATTTTGTATTCCCCTAATGGATTTGCCTGTCTATGGTCAGTATTACTATAACACTCTATTATCTGGGATCAACATCAGCAGAATATCTGTAAAAATACAGCAAGTCCAGTTGCTTTGACTTATTTTTTACAGATATGCCATGACCTAGATGAATGAGAACCTTCACAGACATCAACAGAATAGTTGCTATACACATGCAGGCCTCTGACCAAGAATGTGTAGATGTGCAGCTAACGATCTACCATTCTCCAAGCTGCCTGATGCCATTACACACTAAGGGCCTGTTCACATGATTATCAGGTCCGGATCAGTTGCGGATCTGCAGACGCGGGGCTATGTGTTTTACCGCGTTTCGGCAGCGTTTTTGATGCGTTCCAGCAAAAAAAAAATATATATATTTTTTTTTTGCTGGAGTGGGGCTGTCAGTATGTTAGCTGCAGTGCAGTGCGTTTTTGATGCGTTTTGCATTTCCGGACCGTACAAAATGTGACATGCAGTATTTTTCTGTTGTAACCTGAACGGACTGTTTTAGCCCATAAAACACATAGGGATACATTGGGATGCATTTTTAGTGCAGCAGCGTACGGATCAGGTCAGCACAGAAAACGGACGTCATGTGAACAGGCCCTAAAACCCATAGAGAGGAATTTATCAAAACTGGCGCAGTTGCCCAGGGCAACCAATCAGCTTCTGTCTTCAGTTTGTTCAGTTAAGATTTGAAATTGAAAGAGAGAAGCTGATTGGTTGCCGTGCACAGCTGCTCCAGTTTTGATAAATTCCCCTCATAGTGTATACTTACTGAAAATACGCTGTAGTTTCTTTTTTTTTTAAACTAATTAACGCTAATTTAGAGACCTGAAAAACAATGAATCGTGTATTGTAAGTATGGAGTCGTGTGCGGCTTTAAGGTTCTACCACCAAAAGGTATAGAAGGATCTACAAGTCTCATATTTTCTTGAACTGTTTGCACAATATATGTACATTTTTAAAAGCATGATTGATTATACATGAAAATAAGGCATGTGCCCACATACAGGGTTGCACTAAGGCTATAAGACGAGACATCATGTTTTTGTTCACTATAAGTACCATCAGAAAGTATAAATGACATATCTGTCATCAAAGCTGCGTGTTGAACACAAAGTATATGGCTCATTAATTCCATCTGCAAGACTGGCCCCTGTAAGAATACAAAGCTACAATTTAATACTGGCACTCTGAAAAGGTCCTTTCTACTGCCACATACAACTCGTGCTTGGTTTTATTCTTTAGCATTGCCTGTCGTTTACACAATATTGCTTTCATTTATCATCACACTAAATAAACACATTGTGAAGCTGTGGAAGGGTTTTTCTGATGTCATCGCCAAGTTACCTGCTACCAATACTTCTACTAAAGCAAAGCGGAAGGGGCTGAATATACACTCCATTGACTTCTGCCGCATGCCAACAGGAATGCCTCCAAGTTCTTGTCATGGGATGATATATTCACAGGGGCAAAAAGAAAACTAATTATGCTGAAATTCACTTCCACTTCTCACTCAAAGCCTTAAAAGAAAATATAATATTTGCATATATTCTTCCAGGTTTTGGAAAAAGTCGAATGCAGACATTGAGTTTGAGCAGTGGAGCATAAAGCAGCATAAGGGATCGCAACTTTTTCAGGCCCATCGGAAAATGACTAAGAAAACACTTGTAGATAACAGGGAAGAATGCTGATCTAGAAAATGGCACTAGAGGCCCCTAGTGAACACTCAAATCGATGAAATTAACCCTTCATGTGCCAGGTTATGTCTGAAGAAGTACAAAGACGGATTTGAAATAGCTTTCATGTCCAAAAAAGCACAACTCAAACCTTTCTTAAAGTGTAGTTCCACTTCTGCAGTCACAATTAAGAAACCTCCCCTATATGTTTGTTATGTGTTCCTATTCACACTGCGTATCTAAATTTATATCTAAAGAGCATTTTTTTTTCAATATCTCTATTCAGCAGACATTGCATGCTTCCCTCTCAATTTCAGTAATAACTGTTCTAATAGAAAGACTTAGGACAGACTGAGCTTCCCCTCATTAACATACAATGTCTTCAAGCCTTTAACCCTTTGTAAGGACAGACAGTCCTGCTCATCTAATTTACAGGCGATACTGAAATCTGCCAGCACAGTACAGATAGCATTCATTATTTGAAACAAACTGTAACAAACTCCTAAGCAGGATTTTTTAGTCCTGGAGTTAGCACAAAAATCATCTAAAAAAATCTTAAAAGTTATGTTATGTGATGCACAAGTGGACATAGTAGTGAAGAATTAAAAGCACCGTCAGTTTATTATACCCTGTAAATCCTGTCCTGGAGACCCCACATGAAGTAAGAGGAAAACTCAGCAGAGTAAAATGTCCCTTTTGACACCAGAACAGGTGTCCCCTCGCCTCTTCTTCAGTTTAATCACCAGGATAAGCTGATTCTACCCAGCAGGGGCACATACAGCAATTAAAACTTTACAAGGTTGCTAACTCTTCTTATTTATATCCAAAACTAAAATAAAAAAAGTTTAGACTTTAGATGCTTTTAAGTCTGGTTAATGTGATGTCTGCAAATTCTCAAAGATCAGTTTAGCTGATTCTACATCAGTAGTGAGAAACAGAAAGACTCCAGGGACCCGGACACCAGTCCACAACCAATTGCTTGTGCTCCATACATGGGGAGATCATTGAACAAAAGCACAGGATATGGATCTGACAACCCTCCCTGTGTATGATGGTTGTATGACTTAGGTTACCAAAGAAGATGAAACACTGATAAACACTTCTTAACACAGAGAGAGAGACACACACACATATATATATATATATAGTATATATTCCAACATTTAAAGTAGAATTAACTCTT